GCGCGGTCCCCTAACTGGAACTGGTTGGATTCTGCTGTGGCCATCGCGACGCGAGCCCAGTGTTCGCATGCCCGGGAGGGAGGGGGCCGCCCCCTAGTTATACATGCCCGGGGGCAGGGGTGGCGGCACCATCAAAGAGGTGGTCTTGGGGAGGCCCGTGCCTTCTCAGGGTGCGAGCCCGCCCCCACCCCCGCCAGACGCCGGTGGGGAATAATCGCTTCCGCTGACCGTGGGACAGAGGGTTGGGAAGAGGCGTGAACTTGGGCCCGGGCCCCCTCGCATTCCCTCCCCAGCCCATCCGCCCCACCACCCACCGCAATCAACATCCCCCAGCGAAGGTTTGCTGGGGAGGGGCAGCCTCGAGGGGCAGGAGTGCGTGGGTGGGGGGCACTTTGGGGAGAGTTTCCCTCTTGGGGGGGCGGAACTGATCACCCACTCAGATTGGTCTCAGAGCCTAGCCCGCCGTTCTGGGTTCCCCCCGCAGTCATCATCAAAGGTATTTATTTCTGCCCCCTGCTATGTGCTAGACCCTGTACCAGGTTTGTTAAACAGCCCAGCCTTGTGCCTCCCCTAGCTTCCCTAACACATTCCAGTCAGAAGGAGGGGGCACAGATAAAGGGACCTCAGTTGAAAGGGGGTGGTAAACTCACCCTGAGAAGGGGGAAGGGGTGGACCCTGGAAGTTTCTTTAGGATCCCCAAGGCCAGTAGGATTAGAAATAGACTTGCATTGAGCAGACTTGTGCTGTAGACTTTCTGGAGGTACCCCGGCCCTGAGGGGCTGGCTGGACACATCCATCGCCTGCCCTTCCTCAGTCTCCTGGGCTCACTGACAGTGGTTCTGCCCCGTTTTATCCTGATTGGTACCACAGGCATGGCTGATGGGCCTGCTTCTGCACTAAACGATGAAGCCCTTGAGAAAGGAGCTGATCTCTCGCTCACTCATTAAGTGTGCTCTCTGAGTTACCTCAGCTGCTCTGGAGCTGCTGCAAAAGGAGGGCCAGGCCTGATTACGGAGGGTCAGAGATAGGCAGGCTTCCTGCTCCTGGTGTATTATGATGTATATGCTGATCTTTTTGGAAGCAGTTTTACTATGGAAGTGTATGATATGTGAATATTATATCAAGAAAATAAAGAAACCAAACTTGACCATGGGGGTAAGAGAGAGTTTTTTTGCTTAGGAGCATTGAGTTCAATTTAATGGCATTGGAACACTTTAGAGAGGGTTATAAATAATGGTTCTATAACACAAGGAGCATAATCAAAGGCACTGAATTATACACGTAGAAGTTGTTGAATTGGAGAATGTTGTGTATATTTTTGCCTAAATTGAAAAAATTTACATGCGAACGAGTTCAAGGGAAAAAAATGTTCTAAAATTGATTGTGGTAAAGATTGTACAACTCTTCTTAATATGGTTGAACTATTGAATTGTATGATATGTGGATGAAGTGCCCATAGACGGTTAGAAAGTAAAATAAAGTAGCTATCCTTATCCCAGTGTTCAGATCAAGAACTATTTCACAGTACCGTACAGAGAAAGGCCCAACTGTTTCTCAAGCCACTGTTGTAGCACGCTAGCCTCCATCCTCATCTGGGCCTTGCTGAGCTCCCCTGCCACCCTCAGCAGCAGGGTGGCGCCTCAGCTCTTCTCCTGGTTCACTGGGTCACTGGAGGCCTGGAGCTGGTTGCTGTGGCTATAGTTCACTCATTCAGTGCTGTGAACTGGAAGGTCAGCAGTTCAAACCTCAGTGTTCGGCAGGGGAAATATGTGGCTTTTATAAAGATTACGCCCCAAACCAAAGCCACTGCAGTCAAGTTGAACCAACTCATAGCAAACCTAAAGAGGATGTCTGAGACTTTAAGGAAGGCGCCCGAGTGGCAGAGTGGGGCAGGAGTTGAGCTGCTGACCACAAAGTCAAGGGTTTGTACCTACCAGCTGCTCTGCAAGAGAAAGCTGAGTCTGTCTCCTGTAAAGGTTTAGTCTTGGAAACCCTGTGCTATAGGGCCACTGAGACGGATTTGATTAATGGCAGCGAGTTTTGAGTTTTAAAAGCTTTATAGAAGCAAACTCATCTTTCTCCCAAGGTGCTGCCAGTGGGTCTCAATGGCTGACCTTGCAGTTCCCAGTCTAATGCTTAACTCAGATGGCCACGAGGGCTCCGTCCCACAGAGGTGACAGCCTTCGAAACCCCATAGGGCAGTTCTACTGTGTCCTGTAGGGTGGCTCAGCAACTGGTTTGGTTTGGGCATTCTTTCATCCAGATTAGAATTCTCACCTCCCATGCAGGAGGTCCTGGATGGCTTTCCAGCCAGCGCACCTCAGTGCAGCTACTGTTTAAGCTTCCCGTGGAGACGTGCGTGCTACTCCTTTGCTGGATTCAGTGGATCTTTTAAAATAGTGGTTGCCAAAGTGGGTAATAGCACCCCCTGGAGGGATCTGGAACTGTAGAGGGAGGCTGCAAAAGCAGATACCTACACTTTATTCTGGAGGATGGGCTATTGGACAAAAGTTTTTCTTTGTCATGGAGAAAACTGGGTCCTTTTTTCCCCCCTGAAAAGGGTGTGATAGGCTTAATCAGCTTGAGAACATATGTTTTACTAGATGGACTATGAAGAAAAATAGGCAACCTACTTCCAAAACTCAGCCAATGAAAACTCTGTGAATCACATGGTCCAATATATCAGTCTTACTAGAGGAAAAAAAGACAGTTGCTGTGGAATTGACTGACTCACGGAGACCTCGTGTCTATACACAACTGTAAGCCATTGGGTTTGGAATCGGTGCTCTTTCGGAAGTAGGCTCTAACCTTTCTTTGACTAAGCCAGCCCATTACCATTTGCACCACCCAAGGACTCCCCCAGTTGTCTGAAATCCCTTTCATGACCAGTGGGATGTGTCTGTGCTCGTGTCCCTTGTTTGCTTGTCTTGTGTCCTGTGCCCTGGTGGTGTGGTGGTTATCCATTGCAAGGTCAGCAGCTGGAACCCACCAGCTGCTTCTCTGGACAACGAGGAGGCTTTCTGCTCCCATGAAGAGTTACAGTCTTGGTAACCCACAGAGCCAGTTCTACCCGGTCCTGTGGGTCACTGTGAGTCTCCATCAACTCAATGGCGGTGAGTTTGGTTTTGGTTTTTGTATCATAGGACGCTGGTGTGCCACATATGGTATGTGCTGCCAACTGATAGATAGCTCGTGCGTATGACTGAAGAATGCTTACGAGTGAAGGGAAGTTTGATGACACTGTATCCTGCTGTTCTGAGTGCACATAGGAGTATGGTTTTCTCTGTGTAATTTGGAACTTATGACTTCCAGTGATGATATAATTTGCAAGTGAATAACTTCCTTTCTAGCGCAATACCATATCTTTACCCAGATTATTGCATGACTTCTACATTTGTTTGCCAGCTGCTCCCTACCCACCCCGCTGCCCCCCAGCCCCCCACCAGTGTTTTGGTAAGAGCACTATGCTAATTTTTGTTTACAGTATTTTGTAACCAGTGGGGCAAATGTGACCAGCTTTACTCTGGCTCCCTTTCCTAAAGCTACTTACTATGGGCCAGGAAATCAAAAGAATAGGCAGACCCTCCCTCCTTGTGAAGAAGAAGCAGGAGTGACCAGGGGTGCCAAATGGCACAGGGCTCTGATAGGCTGGGGAGCATTTACCTGTCCAGGGACCTACAAGGTGGCATGGAGAAAGCACCAGTGGCAAGAAGGAGGCTTGAAAAAGAATTGTGTGTAGCCATTGCAGGCCTTTCTGTATTACTCAATTAACAAAAGTTTCACACAATAGGATTTGTTAAGAATAAATCCTTTTAAAAAATATCCTTTTTTCCTACACCTCATCCTACCTAGCCTACCTCCAGAGTCCAGGGGGGAACACATAATTCGCAATACTATTTATCAAAATCCATCTTCCCTAAGGAAAATTTAACATAACTTGGTTACTCAGCATGCATCCTATGCTGAAAAAGTTTTAATCAGCCAAACCTAACAAACAAAATAAGTCCATCTTGGAAAGGTTAAAAGACATGCAAGAAAAAATGGCCTTAAAAAAATAATAAAGAAAAAATGGCCTTACAGCTTTCGCTTACTCCCTCAGCGCTTCACCAGATTCCAGTGTAAATGGAAGGCTTCCCATGCCCTAGCCTACTGCAAAACAGGCTAGCTCGGAGTAACACACACCCCCCACCCCGCCGGACCCGCCTCCCTCCCCAGGTGAGCAGGGGAAATAGAGATGACAGCAACCCAGAAACTGCCCAAGGAACGGGTGCTTGGGGATTCTCCATCGTGTTCTCTGGAAATTCCCATGGGCCTCTGTTCAAGGCTCTTTCCTCTCGGCTTCTGTTTGCCGTGAGCGAATTCAGAGCTTGCCTGTTAGTGGAAGACCAGGGGGAACAGGTCTGTGGATAGTTAGCCAGCAAATGGAAGTTTGCCATGGTTTGGGGAAAGCAATGTAATCATGAGACTGTCTTTTCTCTTTTCATAGCTGTTGGTCAGAAATGTTAGCTCTCAACTTGGGGTTTGTTTATAATCTTCCCTACAGATACCACAGACATTATTTTCTATAATCATTTGTTGTGTTATCGGCTTTTATATTGAAATGAGAGTCCAGCCACTTCCATTTTCTCCAGCCTTTGCTCTATAATGATGTTTTTGTTGCTTGTGCTCGTACATGCTGAAATTGCTAGCTGTGGGCCTACAGTGGAAACCAAGGGTTTGAGTTAAGGTTTAGCGAGGCAGAGTTGAGAGTTGAGAGTTAAGGTTTAGCGAGGCAGACTTTTATAATCTCTGGTTCCCCTTTTTGATACTTTTTAAAAATCACATGCATGAACTCTTGTAATATATTTTAAGTTTAGTTTTTTGATGGGGACAGTGGATGCTCAGTAGAATTCCCACCAACCATGCAGGAGACCACATTTGAATCCCAGCCAGTGTACTTCATGCACAATCACCACCCCTGTTAATGGAGACATATGGGTTGCTATGATGCTGGACAGGTTTCAATGCATCTTTAAGGTTAAGTAAGACTTGGAAGAAAGGCCTA